ATAAAAAGGAAAAGCCTAATAAGCAATTTTCTAATGAGAGGAGTAATATACCAGGTAATCACAGGGTGTCGGTGAGCAAACGGTGTGATACACACCTATAAAGAAGGCACAAATGATCCTAGAAAGCATAAAGTACTTCAAATAGAGCTGGGAAGCATTCATTTAATTAAACCTGTGCTAAAATATTATGTACTGCTCTAGTTGTCTGTATTCACATGCAGAAGGGACTACTAGGACAGTTATAGAAACTGTTTGTTTTACAAAAGGCATGGGCTTTAATTAAATTACGTGAGTGGATGTCATTGCTGTATATAAATGCATCATGGACAAAATGCCAGCAAGGGAAAAGAACTAATCAAGCTAAAGAACAATATTGGCATAAGAGCAAATATGTATAAACTGGCTATGTGTGAGTTTAGGCAGAAAACTGGGGGAATCTTTCTTGCCATTTGAGCAAGAGAGTTTTGCAGCAGTCCTCCAAGAAATGTCATGGGGTTTGAAATAGTAACACTTTCAGGGAAAAAAGGATGAGGGTGCTCTCAATAGTTAAACTTCTGTAGTTAAACTAAGCTTGTAGGAGAAGTCCAGGAAAGGGGTGCAGAGCTCTATCTGTTCCTTGGAGTTGCTCAAGGCAACAGCTGCTACCTGTAAGCCTGCTGTGAGGCTCTGCTGTCTGTTTTGTCTCAGCCAGGTTTTGTATTGTTACTTAGCCTTTCTGTGTTTCTGTCGCTTCCTGACCATGGCCTTTCTACTCCTTCAGATAGTGATTTGGATCTCATCCATCCTTCTGTTTTCTGATCATAGCCATCTTGTGAGATGCAAACACTTGCTGTTTAGCCAAAAGAAAAACAAAAAAACAAAAAAAACCAAGACAGGGTAAGGTATAATGCAGATTTTGGGGTATTTGTTTGCAAGACCAGAAAATAGAAACAATGGCAGCTGTTAACAGCTTGAACAAATTGTTTGTAGTGGTTCCTTACCAAATAAATATGTTAAACCTTTCCCAGTTTTGCCTTATGTTCTTTTTTCCAAGCTGTTTATTAAGAAAACTAGCAGTGATGATGACAGATCGGTTTTCCACAAAGCCATGTGTGAAAGTACCTTTAAAAAGAATTACCCTGGTAAAATTCCACTAAATATATTTTAATGTCTCATAACAAAACTTTACAGCCCTGTGTCACCATCAACCAAGAAATTCCCATGCTAGTACATTTATTTACTTCATCCAGGCATTGTAAGAAAGGTAAATAATATTCCTGTTTTAGAGATGGAGTACTGAGGTACCTAATGAACCTGTTTGAAGTCGCACAGTAAAGTTGTCCTAAGTCATACTTTACTTGATCCATATAGTGCATGACATCCACAGACAACACAGTCAGGACACTGAAAGAAGTTGTACTTGTTCTCTGAACAAAATAGGGCACCCTTTTTTTTTTTTTTTCCCCCTGGAGTGAGGGGAAAAAGGTGTTTTACTTGTATATGGTGGTGTGGTTTAACCTCAGTCGGCAACTGAGTACCACACAGCTGCTCGCTCGCTCCTCCCCCCCAGCCCCCAGTGCGATGGGGGAGAGAATTGGAAGAGTAGAAGTGAGAAAAATTCGTGGGTTGAGATAAAAACAGTTTAATAATTGAAATAATAATAATAATAATGTAATAATAATAATAATAATAATAATACAC